TATAATCTAAACTAAATAAATTGAATTGTATTGACTTTTCATGTTTAGAATAGTCTTCTTTTAAGTTGTTAATACTTTATTACAAGTAATTTAATGATGAAAGAGAAAGAAAAAACTATTTTTTCATTCATTAAATTTGCTTTTCTAATCATCTCGTTAAATTATCCAGCTTATTTGTATTAATCTATCTTTATACTCGGTAGACATACAATATATACAATAAATATATATATATATATATATATATATATATAGATGTAGATATATACTTATAAAAGTATAATTTAAAATAGACACGCAATTTATTTATAATCTTAGTGAATATTCGTCCTTGAAAATGATACTCAACCACTCCTTTCCTCGCTAATTTTTTTTCGTCAGAGCAAGCAAGGAAAAAAAGGAGACGTCCTTTATAAATGACTGATATTTTACAGGCTGGAGAGGTTGAATGTTTTCCGAGTAAATTTCGTTTACTTAACTTAAAAATTGTGCAAATATCACATAATTTACGTAACAAATGCTTGAATGGTAAAAAACTATGTTTAAAGTGTTTAAAAAATAGAAAAAGAAACGCCTTTTTCATTGTTTTTCTCTTATTTCTTTCTTTCTCTCTCTCTCTCTATCATCTCAACCTCCCAAATACAGTAGTTTTCTTTCTCTTCTCTTTTTATTTTAACATTTTATCAAAATATTAGACAGGCCACCTTATATTGAATACATTTAATTATATATTAATCCTATTATTTGTTGCGCTCACATTTCCAAATTGTTAATAATATAGGTTGTAGTATATTTTTTTGATTATTATTAATCATATTGTGTTTGATTATTTAAGTTTCTAGGAAAGAGAGGGAATGTCGAAATAAAGCAACAAAAAATCACGGATATTTAGTTTTATAGGTCTTCATCTTGTAAACTATATTTAGGTTATTTTTAGATCGATTAAGGTAAAGATTTTCCAAGTTTACATTCTCAATCTATGAGAATGTTTACATGTGTTTCAATCAACTTAAAAAGGAAATACTTGTACTTTTTGTTCTATTTATTATATTTATCATCCTACAATTAGATAAATTGATATATTCATTTACTCTTTCTAGAAATGATTAAGATATTTCTATAAATATGTTAACGTAATACTTTCTGAGCATATTATTCAATTTAAGAAAATCATATCTGTAACTTAGAACTGTGGTAAATGAAAAGGTAAAAGAAAAGATTGACTGAACGTAGGAAAGGAATAGCGAAAGAAACCGTAAGTAAACTTTAGATCGTTGAAAAAATACCTGAAGGTCTTTATAAAATATTGATAATAAATTAATGTTTATATTATTCATTGAACGTTTTGAAACATAGGCCACAAGTAACAGATTTCTCGATATATGGGCCAAGCGTTAATTCAAATATACGGTACGTAAGCAAGCGTGTTTTTGACAGAATAAGTAGGAAAGAGAGAGAGAGAGAGGGAGAGAGAGAAGAGGAAGTGGATAAAGAAAGAAGGAGAGAGAGAGAGAGAGAGAGAGAGAAGGTATCAACGAATTTTTCGTAAAAAAAGGAAAAACTTATTCGACAGGATTACGTAAATTGCTTGAGGGGGTGGAAAAACTATATACCACGTATACCCTGGATTCCGCTGTCGTTTCTAAGCCCTAAGTAGATGCTCTACAAAAGTTTTTCCTTTTTTACAGATTTAATTAGAATCTGGCAGGAATTTAACGTGACAACGCACGTTCTCAAGTTAACTACCTATACTACAATTAAGGATAAATATAATACTGCATATCTTGTTCTAAAAACGTAAAAACTAGAATAATTGCGTGTTGAACCGTGTTGAACGTAATTTGTTTGAAACTACTGTACAATCAACTCTCAACTTAAATGTTCAACTATTCTCTTCCTCCATATCTCTCTCTCCCCTCCTCCCTCCCCACCCCCAACATAAACTAATCTTCCTCATTAGGTCTTACCTATATTTTCTTTCTACTCTTAATATATATATATTAAATATAAGAATAAAATCCCATATCAATGATTAAAGCATGTGTATTAGTATAGATAAATGTTTGTTTAGTCAGATGAGTAAAATGATACGTCGGTTATTTAGGAATAAAATTAGGAAAGAGGAAGTGGTTTTCTGATTGGTTTTTATCAGAATTATATGTAATTGAAGAGTTTATCAGGTACAATATCATTTATACTAAAACAAAAAGCTATTCAAAGGGAACTGCTATGAGATACATATGTGATTGGGATCATTTTTGATAGTAAATTAAATCCAGAGAAATACTAAATCTCTATAAACTTAGGATATGTAAAGAATTTGGCTGATATGTTATATAGTATAGCAATTCTTAATCCGCTTAATGAAGTTTTATGTTCTCTGGTCGTTTCCTTGATGTATTTACGATGTGTCCGACTTCCTTTTCATACCGATTTTGTCCTATTCTCAGACAAATATACTTAACTTTACTTGTCTTTAAATCATTTAAATCCTTCATATCGAACTTTTTATCTATTTTATAGACGCTTTATAGATTATACGCCATTAGTATGTACGTTCTTAGCAATTAGATAAAAAAATATTACAAACAGCCGTTGATTGTGTAGGGTCAAGGTTAGTTATTTTTTCTTTTTTTTCTTCTTCTTTCAAAAGAGTCATTTATTTTAATCCAAAATCTTTCGTTACGTACTTGAAGGTTTATTAATGATTTTTCTTTTCTGTTCTATTTTTCATTATGAGTAATTAACTTGCTGTATTGGCAAACATTCAATAAATCTAATGAACAGTTTAAAAAGAGCTAGAAAGTTCTGATTCATGTTATTTTCTTTTTTAATATCAATTAATTGGATTTTTTCGGGATAATCAATTCGGGGATAAAATGCTCAAAAACTCAAAATAAAAGAGATATTAGTATGATTAAGTGCATGCGATTAGATTCTCTTTTCAATTCAATGTACTTGAGTAAACTTATTTCATTTTCAAAGCTCCTTTTTTAGTCTATTTTAACTAGATTAGTAAAAAAAAAACCACAACAAAATCGAATTTTCCATATATTTCCTTCTCTCTTCTTCTTCATCATTTTCTGCTTTTTCAATTCTAGTTATATTTGTTTATTTACTAATTTCAATGCAAATCTCATTAACGACATCTTCCGCACGCTAGTCCGCTGACTCTCACGAATAACCCTTAAATCATTGTTGAGAAGGCGATGTATTTCTATTAATTGGTTTTTTTTTTTTTTAATCACGAAAGTGATTAAATAATTCAAGATTCGTCTTTTAAAATGGAAATACTTCGATTCTCTTAACTGAAAATCTCTTATCTGAAGAAGAATGAAATTAGCTTCCTTTAGCTAATGTTTTATGTATTAATTTAAACGTTTTAATCCTGCAATCTAACCGAAAGAAAGTAAACAAGAAGTGTTTCACAAGCATTTTCCTGTTACATTCTTTGTAACTTTTTTTTTCCAACTATTTCAATCCTTCTCCATCTTCTATACCAATATTCTTCGGGTAAATAGAGTAGTACTTTTTAAAGCTGTCTATACAAACTTATGTTTTCTTAAAGCGTGCCGGTTATTAGCATAGGCCAGTATGATTTCCATCATATCTCAGCATGATTTAATGATGTTAATTAGTAAAAACGCGAAAAGAAAGAAAATAAAGATATAATTTCTAAACTCTCCTTTCTTTGTCATGATTACTTATTTTCCTCTAAAGAATAAAAAAACTTTTTCTCTATTCATTCTTTTGTCATAATAACGAAAAATAAAGCAAAGAAATGAAAACCGAATGAAGAAAATAATTTATATTCTCAGATGATCTTTAATTGTTTATATAGAGCATTGCCTTGTGTTCTCTTAAGAATATTCTACACATTCCACATTCTCATTATTACTGGTCTGGGAATGATATATAGAGTTATCCAACACCTTTCAGCTTCTGCTATTTCAAGTCGTATCTAACATGATAAAATAGGAATTGGTTCTTTTAACCTTCGGTGTCAAATAAAAATGATAAGAGAAATCACAGTATCTACTTGAATAATTCAATAATCACCCATTTCCCTTTATTATTTCTTAAAGACTTTATTGCACTCATTCAATATCGTAATAGGAAAACAATTTATAATTAAACGTTTAAGATAACAGCTTGAGAGGATATTTATTATTTATATTGTTTTTACTATAAAATCATCAATTATATGAATACAATTAGAAACGGTTCGTTTACGTTATTGACATAATCATTTTTTAACAATTTACCCGGCCGTTACAAATACATTTGAGCAGTTTAAAATTTACGTGAGTGAAGAGGGAGGGGTGGGTTGGGAGATTAATTGTTGGAGAGGACTGAAAAATCGAGTAAGATCAAGTGCTTTACAAAAAGGGGAAAGAGCAATAGTAAGAGTAAGAGAGAGAGAGAGAGAGAGAGAGAAAGAGTTTAGTAAATTAATGACTTAACGAAAGAAGAGAATAAAAGAATAGCATAGACAGAAATAGAGAAGATAGAGAGAGAGAAATGCCATCCTATAGTGTAAAAGTAGTAGAAAGAACTTAAATAATATAGATATAGATAGCTTTATGCTCTATTACTCTCCAGAAAAAACTTTGCTCGTATTCTATTACTTATTCGTTTGTTCAGAATTGAGAATGAAAGATTATAACGGGCTAGTGAATTTCTATTGCTAATCCATCACAATTCTATAGAAATAATCTAGAGTAAAAAAGCATTCTGAGAATTTTTCTTCCTTTAAGAAAAAGATCGTGTTCGGTTTTCTCTTCTTTATCCTACTTCTAGATTTTTTTTAATGTTTCCATCAATCATAAAACTTTTTATCAAATGACATTTTCTTTTTAAGTAGTTCTTTGTAAAAATAAATTATGGGAACAAAAAGGTGAAGAGGAAATATCTCCATATCCTTCTACCAGTTATTTTTTTTTATATATACTCTTATCTCAGTTTAGCGACATCTACTGTCTTAATGATAAATTAATGATAAGTCGATTCCTTATCCTTTACTGAGTGATAGCCGGTAATCAAAATACATTAGACTTCAACTAATTATGGGTAATCAAGCATCTGCTTTGAGACCGGAAGTCCTGACGGATTTGGAAGAGAGCACCGCTTTTAACGCTGATGAGATAAGAGAATATTACAGGTACATTGACATGTCTAAGTAAATTATGTATCTTTGGTAGCTTGGAATATTATTCAAATATGAAGATATACAATACAAACTGTATGTACAGTATATTTCCTACATTCTTTAAGCCTTATCTACATAATGTCTTATCTTAGAAGTGAATTCCTTATTTTTTTTGACTACTTTCATACATAAAACGATCAACATGAATATTTCAATTTTGATAACTTGTTAGCTCTTGTTCAATCTATTGAAAAGATTAGATCAATCAATTTGCTAAATTAGATGACAAAGCATTTCTAAATTCCTCTTATCGTAATTGTTTCTGTTTAGTAAAGAATATTGTTTAGATTAACTTATTCTGCTATACGACACACAGATTACTCTCTAAGTAATAAACTATAGGAATAGACTATCCAATGAATGTCTTTAAGAAGACATTGATAAAAAAAGAACCTTCCTTTTTTTCAATAGAAACTTTCTAAAGGAATGTCCGGAAGGTCGCATGTCGATGTCCCGCGATCAATTTAAGAAAATCTATTCTAAACTCTTCCCCACTGGTGATGCCAATCAGTTTGCCCAACACGTTTTTCGCACGTATGACAGAGATGGAAATGGTCGTATTGATTTCAGAGAATTCTTGAATTCACTTCATATACAAAAGAGAGGCACTTTGGAGGAGAAATTAACTTGGTTATTCAAAATGTATGATATTGATGGAACTGGTTATATAACCGAGGATGAATTAGGGCAAATGCTCAAGGTAAATTATGTATAATACATTCTAATTTCTATAATACAAGTTCTAGAGTATACATAATATGTATAACAAGTGTATATAGTGTATATACTTTCGTATACTGTATAATCGTACGTATAGACTAGAACCTGTATATGTATACATAGACAGCTCACAGATATCTTTTTTCTATATAACATTGCATAAACGATATTTTCTTTTTTATTAATAACTGTTAACGCCATCTGTAGTCGCTACATAATCTTCGAGGAAAAGTTGATGAGCATTCGATGAAATGTTTGGCTAATTATATATTGGAGAGAGCGGACATAAACAAAGATAAAAAGTTGTCTCTGAAAGAATTCCTAGAAGGCGCCAAATGTAGTAACACAATAAAGCAGATGCTAGACGAAGCATTCGAAGCGTCTACCACACCTTTCCGGAAATCTTAAGAATTCCTTTGATTTTCAGAATTCTTGGAAGGAAAGAGAAGAGAGAAAGGAAAAATCATTGCTATGATTAATTACAATTAAACTAAATAAATGTGTAATTGATACCGAATCACGAGACAGTGAACCCATTTTAATAAAAAGAACTAAGAATTTAATCGATAGATGGCGTTTTTACATTTTATTAAGTTTAGAATTTATCCCCTCAAAGACGTCGGAAAGTTTTACTTTACACTCAAAGGAAGTGAACGACAAATATGCGTTAAATTTCAATACTCCCCCAACAAATCAATAAAATTTAAAGGTTTTAATGTAATTTACATAAATATTATTTCATAAAAAATATATATTTTAACATTTATTAAAGTAAAACTATTAGAATATATTATAAATTCTATGAATGAATATATCAATTATGTGAATATTTCCTCGTTGTAAAATATTCTGTTTTGACAATTGACACAACACAAAGGACTTTAATTGGCAATTTGCAGCCCTTAAAAGATCCGAATTATCCAGAAAAAATATATATATATTATGGATTGTCTACCGAGAACTATTTAAAATTCTTTTTAAAGTATCCCGCCTTTTTCTTTCATTTATTTCCTTTCCGGGTTTTTTCTAAGAGAAAAAAATATAGATTGATTAAGACTTTCTTCATATTGAATGAAAATTTTAGTATATATATATATATGTTTATATAAATGTATATTTAATATAGAAAATGAAATGAATGGTTTTAAGGGTTATTTATATTCAATCAGAATTTAACATTCTCTTTTTTTCATCATGTAAATTTGAAGAGAGAATAGATAAAAAGATTCTTTTTTAAAACTTGACTTTTTACAAGACGCTCTCTTTGCGAGAAAGTATAAAAGAAACTGAACTTACTGATGATGGAAAGTAATTACGTCTATTGGCGCTAGTACTTCTCTGGAAGGAAAAATATAATGTATATATAGATATCCATTTTATCTATAAACCTTATACTTTAAAGAAAACTATACAGTTGTAAGCATAGTTCCTGCTACAATTTACCTTAAACATAAAAGGCCTATCCGAATCTGGAAAATCACACCAAGTTATCTTTAATCCAGGAGCATTACTCCAATGTTCCATTAATCCTAGGCAGCAATGTTCCGGACACAGTACAACGTTTTGAATATTTTTAATACCTCGACCACAACAAGAACGCTAAAGTTAATATAAACAAATTTCGTTATTTCATCAATTAGTATATGTGAAATATACAATATATAAATAATTATATATATTTCTTGAGTTCACCATCAAATTCTGATGGGTATAACCTTCCGTTGAAAAAACAAGCATATATAGTATATAATAAAGACGGTTGATATTGCTAGTCGGAACGCAAACACTTATATATATATATATATATATATATATATATATGTACTGATAAGTATAAACCATATATCTAGTTTTATCAAAAGAAAACATAGCTAAAGACTTAAATAAAAGTGTTAAAACATGACTTGAGATAAATTCAACCAACAGAGTTTGTGTACATAATACATACATTAAATATCAAAAAAAGGCTTTTATATTTATAACTTAAATATATACATATATATATATATATTTATATGTATATTTATAAATCTATGTATATATATATATACAGTAGCCTTGAAAATGCTGCTAATATCGCTACCTTAAATGAAAAAGTTGAATAAAACGCAAGATAAATTAAATTAAATAAATTTTCTTTTATATTTTTTAATACACTGAGATAATTGGCTAAATTGTTAATAATTTTTTATTACCTGGTCATCGGCTTTAATGTAAAATAAGAGAAGAAAGACTATAGCCAGTCTTGTAAGCATGGTGGCTGTTAGGCAACGTAAGAGGTTATGATGCTTACTAGTATATATGCGCCATGCAAAATGCTTTATTAGCCTCTTATATACTTGTTAAACGTATGACAATTTTAATATTTTAATATTTACTTCCGCCGCTATATTTAGAACAAAATTATATATATATATATATATATATACTGTATATATATATATATATATATGAATATATGTATATCTATAGGAATTAATAAATAAATATATAAAGAAATAATCAAAAGTGATATTAATTATCATAACTCATTTAGCGAAATCCTAAACTATTGCAATTCCTCTTTACAATTAATAAAAGCTCTCACTTTTAACCTAAATCTAGCAGAAATATTACACCAATAGTCCAAAACGACCCTCATAGGCCTATTTCTTGTAACTTTTACCTAATGTACACTTCTGGAAGATAGGATGAGCATGAAATTACTCTACTATTTAATTTGTAAATTTCTAATAAATTACTAAAATCGCAATATTCTTAGAGGACACTTAAACACGTGACTAAGTTCTTGTTGTGCTAAATTTAGTTCTGTAACCCACATTTAAAGACAAGATAATGGAATATTTCCGAAATACTATATACTAGAAAGAAATATATTAATCTGTATTTCATTCACTTGTATCTTCTGAGCAATAGTGGACTACAACTGTAGGGGAAACTACGTCTAATTATGTATTAGAGCAAACAGTTTCAGTCCCTTCCCTCTAAGAGAGCATCCTTTGACTTTTTTTTTAGATACTTCTGTCGCTCACTTCCCAGCACTTTTTATTTGACTATGCTATCCACTCTAGCTCTTCTTCATAGCTCTTTAACTCTCTTTATCTCATATTTATTTCTGCTTCTCCGCTTTCCCCTTATACTAACTACCTTCCTTGCTTTCCTCACTTCCTACATCTTTTATCCTCAGAGAGTTTGTAAAAAGAAATATACAGTATAAAGAAACAGCGTTTTGAAGGGCTCCACCAGCATAAGACAATAATACTATGCTACCCTGTCAAACATTGTCACTAGTAGATAAAAGATAAAGGATTATAAGTAGATAAATTCTTTTATAAGAAGGACTAAAAAGGTTTTACTATTTCACAAGTCATGGAAGAGCGAATACTTTCATTCACTAGTAGAGTATTTTTAGAAATTATCGCCCGTTTCCTATAGGTTTGTTTTGCAAGCTTGACCTTAATAATTAATTTGAAATTTTTTTGCTATTGAGCAGTATTACATTCCCCTTAAGAACTGCTAATGCAGAACAAACCATGCAAGAAATTCACTATTATTCCTTATATTTCTAAAGATTAAGCTATATTTAAAAGTAAATGTAGCGGAATCCTTATTTATGTTGCAGCCATCATTTTTTATATAGTACATTACATTTGTACAATATCTAGGCCTAATGTTCTGTGTCCTGAGGAAATTGTTGTTGAACACTATGCCATGTCTAGCTGTTAATTATCGGCTCTATAAGAAAACGTTATTCCTTTTTTTACAAGTATCTTATTCGATATTCCTCAAGATGGCACTAGCTCAGCTACTCAGTACGTTTCTTTCAACTTTATCGTAATTAATCAACAGCTCATTTTTGGAATAAAAAATGATGCTCTTTGACGATTGCGTCTTTAATTCGCGGGGCGTCACTTTGTGAAAAAGCAGTTTTTTTTCCGATACTGTACTAATTAAAATTGACGCTTGTAGACGAACTGACATTATAACTTATCCTCTAGCCGAATGAAGATGAAGATAATAGGAATATTTTTACTGACTAAATTGACAAATTGTGCAATAACTCTAGTCTTCGATAGCGTTTATTCACCACCTAAAATAATACCTACAGATGAGAATCAAATTTATAGTGTCGGTTTGAATCAAAAAGTAATAAGACCAATATTTGCCTATTTAATGAAGAATGGACAACGTTTAACAACTGGAAGTGATGCTTCAGCATCGGTAAGATATGTTCCCCATCCCTAATCAGCGTCGTTGTTTTTTTATATAAGTTATAGCATTTGTGCACATATATATATACTTTATATATGTTTGTTAGCAAATAGTACTTTATATTTTCAATAGAAAGGAGCTATACCAAGTTCACAAAACAATAATACGTTTAAAGGTTCAACTTCAAAAGATGAATCTCCACAAGTATGGAAAAAAGTAGTAACTTTTGCGTGATATATAAATCTATAGACAACATACTATTATATTCATGTTTCATGCAAAGGAAAAATCATATTTTGATTATTATCGTCTAATAAAGTAGTAGAAAAATGTCGATATTAGAATCTTTTGTAAAGATAATAAGTACAATTAAGAGTGAAAACTCTGACTCGTCATAATACTAAACATATAGACTTTACTGTTGTCACTTTAAATAAATAATAATATAAAATTTGTAAAAATTTATCAACATATATACTTTGTTGTTTCTGAGTGTTCCTACCCTTTTATGATTACAAATGACAATGGATTAATTTACCCCTCGAAAGATACTTAGAAATCCTCATTAAAACACTAATAAGAAAATTTATAAAAGATATAGCCGTATCTTACAGATCTTATAGAATATCTATAAATCTGTAAATTGTTATCAAAGAGAGTATTATGTTTTGAGAATGAGTTAATTGATTATTCTTATGAATATCCTATAGTTGTATCTTATTTCTTATGAAACAACAAAACAGGTGACCTATCGATCAATTGAAACTGATGCCATAGGTAAGACGTCCTACAAAGATGACTGGATTGAAAGTGGAGGAAATCTATGTTGGCATACTCAGTCGACTCAAGATTTTCCAACAAGATTTGACTTTTATAATGGAAAGTAAGACATGAAAATGTTTCTCTCTTTTTCTCTCTTTGAGATTTTATCGCTGAAATTAATTAATTAAACGAAAATCTGTTCAAAAGACAGGCTTGTGGTGTTAATGGTACTTTGACAACGAATGTGATCAAAGGAAGAATAATACTTGACGTGTATTGGCATTATCATCCTCAATTTTTAGCTCCAAGTAAGAAGAGGCACATTGAATTTACTGTAAAAACTTCCGAAGGTACAATTAAAAGTTATACTAATGGCTTTCGTGTTTGGGGTGAGTTTCTTTTCTAAGAATCATTACCTTTAGAAATGTTACATATTAATGTGTGTTTACAATATATGTAAAGTATATATAGATGTATAAATATACAAAAGGGATATATGAAATTTTCTTCTATTTTTAGACCCGGCATGGCAGCCCCGATGGATAATTCAACCCTCTAAACTTATTAATATTAATTCTAAGTTTGATTTAAAAATTCAAGTTGTAAACAAATTAGGTAAAGAAATAGTTGATACTGGAGAATCAACCGTATATGTCATGTTAACTGTTGCGTGGCAGCATAAACTATTCAACAGCGGTGTGTTGGTTATTGAACACGAAACTAAGGTTAATATGTTTGTTCCATTCTCAAAATATGTATTTAGACATGAGTTTAATTTGTTATCAAATAGCAAAGACTGTCTGGAGAGGGGGTCTATAAAAGTGCTACCACTAATGAATTAATTAAAGTTGTTAGAGCTAATAAGGGCATAGCTACCTTCGAGAACATAAGACTATTAGACGTTCAAGATGGTCTTCGACTAAATGTCACCTTATTGAGACCTCATGGCTTTACAATTAGGACTCCTGAAATATTTTCAGAGAAAGATTTCTACATTGCTACCAGTTCATCGGTTGGTACTTTGTTAACTCTACCACCCGACTATCTTGAAGGCCCAGGATTCATTCTAAGCAGACCCATTAAAGTTCAAGGTAGATAAACAGTTACATATATCTATTTAAAATTCCAATCCTACTTAATTAAATATTGTTGAAGCTGTTGAAGCTACCAGCATACATATAGTAAACTTGAAAGATATAAGATCGAAAGTAGCCGCTAATTTTCAACTTTACGAAAAGCCAATAATTGAAGTAAGAGATGCATCGTCAAGTCGAATATGGTCAGGACCTGACAGCAAATTGGTAGGCCTAAGAAATTTTATTCTATAATTTTTTTTATCAAAAGAAAATAAATAAAAGGAAATTTCTTTGATTTCATTTTTTATAATAGAACATGAAATCTTCTTTTTTGCGTTATTGTAGTGATTTTAATGGGGGAAAAGCACTGATTAACTTTTCCATCATTAACAAAATTATAATCCTAAAAAAACAGCAATCTAGTATAAAACATTAAATTAAGCTATAAATTCCCTACTTTAACATAATATATGTAGAATGATATAATGCACGGAGTATACACCTCAACGCATACTCTACAGACGCATGATTTCTTTTTATAATATATAATTGATTAAGCAATAAATCATCTCTAAATACCAGATAGTTCGAGCCGTATTAACACCCAATACTGCTTGCTTATCCATCGATTCAAAGATTTTATTAAAAGAAGGAAGAGGCACTTATGATGGATCAATATGCAATAAAATCTCATTTGTTCGATTACAATTTGAAACTACCAGCGCTATATCAGGAACAACAATCAAAACAACTGAATATATTGAATTAAAAGTAACAGGTAATGAAACAAGATCTTTCTATTAATTTGATAATAAATTATTAATTATTTCATCAATTAGATGATATTTATATCGGCCATATTCTCGATAAGACAATTGATTCCTCTGTTGCGGCATTGGTTCAAAGCTTTCATTCTACTTATGTGAATTTTGCTGTTGAAGACATAAACAATGGAGTCTTTTCTAACTTATTACAAGGTATAATAGATAGTATAAGTATTCTGGTATAACTTGAATGAAATTCTCGCATTGTCATGAAATTAGGAAGAACCCTTCATCTTTATCAAGCCGATCATAAAAATGATGATAAAGTGGCATACGAAGTATATGAATCATCAAAACAATTAGCACAAGAAGATCCGTCGAAAAGATTGGCCGCCATCATCGGTTTCGATAATGATACGATAACTGAAAAGATGGCTCACATACTGAATGCTGATCATATGCCTCAACTATCAATAAGGGAAGAAAGAGCAGAATTTAGCGATAAAGTAAATAACATAATATAAAAATAGACATACAAACTATTTTTATACTTTGAGATCAACATGGCCTTGTAATTGTATTAAATGAATATGACGTTAGATTTATTGTTACTAAAATGTGACCAGTCTCTCTTTTTTATTTGCTAGAAATTCTACCCATTCTACAATAGAATTGGTTATAGTGAAGCTTCTCAACTCAATAGTATACTATTATCATTTAAAGAACGTAAATGGACATCAATTGTTAATAAGAACTAAAATTTATTATCCTAATTTCCTTTTAAATAAAATTTTCTCTATTTTCTAATAGATTATCGTAAGATATAAGAATTTACGATTATCGTCCTCTTTCTATGAAAAGGCTAGCTTGCATGGAATTAAAATCACCGAAGAGGTTTTTATTCTGTTCTATTGATAATAAAATAGATAAGTACCCTGTTTTTCGTTGCAGATAACCATTCCCGATATAGACTATACTTCACAAGATTTTTCACCTTTAAAGCCTTATATGCAAAGAATATCTCGAGCGGCTAGCCGTATTGTATATTTATACATGAATCCTCCCTTGTTGTACTATGTGACTAGAGCAGCAATAATGTGAGCAAATAAGTTAATTACACATATTAATTATTTAATTTCGATGGAATGGCCTAAAAATTACTAGAAAAAGTCTATACAAAATCACTTTAACGTGTTCAAGTACAATGTTTCTATTGTAATGAAATAATTATATCTTTCTCTTTTAGCTATGAAGTGGCTGGAGTTCATGGCTATTTATGGGTTACCGCCGGTATTACTACGAAATCTTTTCCAATTCTCGATCAGCATCCTTTCTGCAAAATGGTTTTTTATAATTATTTGCTGTTGCTAATCTAATATAAGGTCTTTTGCTTTATTAGTCTCCTTATACATGTACTGAAGGAATGGTTGGTATGCATCTTTTTTGGCCACTGTACTCTGTTGGTGGTATATCTAGTTCCCAATGGAATCGTCTCATGGAAAAGTTCTCTAACAGAGATAAGACGATTTATTCAGGTGTAGTACTATCATCTGATACTAGGGTAAGTAATAAAAAATGTAATATTATACTGTATAAAATATAGCTGAAACATTTATTGTACTATTATTACATTCTTTACTCAGTTGGTAGCTGAAAAAGGTTCTGCATATGACGCTCTTATTTCATTAGCAATGGCAATAAATGAGCCTTTAACAAAAAATCAAACAATAACTGGGGTAGCCGTTGTTGAAGCCCTTAGACAAGTGAGAATATATATTGCAGAATACATATATTTATCACTTGGCTTTACAGCTTTCTTTTAATGGATTAACTCAAAATGTTACTTATACCAAAAGTGGAGATCGGCACGGCTATATGGGATTTGTTATTACGTTGGGAGGAAGATATTTCGCTCCAGGACTTGGTGTTAGTCTCATAAAACTATTTAACTATAAATCATTTATCTATTTATAAAAATTCTCATTCTCTTGTAGTTAATAACTATACCAAAGATCTTTATTATGGAGAATGAATCCTCCAAAAAGCAAATTGAATTGATAACATTAGCTCCAATATATTTTAGTATACCGCCATTAAATTGGAAATATCAAGTAACTTTCTATCCAAATTCAACGTTTCTTAATCGAAGAAAGTAATATATTAATAATGAAATATTACGTTTTGCCCTAAATATCATAACAAATCTTTTCATCTTTCTCTGATAGTTACTTGTCTTACAAGGGAGTATTTGATGAAATTATTCAACAAGTTGTTCCGCAAAATGGAGAAGCTGACCCTGAATCTGAACACATTAGAACAGAATTAGTGATGGCACCATATTTCTGTCTCCAAGGGTGTGGAGGTAATCAAACAGATGTACATGATATAAATATTTATCAATTTGGCAAATGCGTCGAGCATGGAAAATGTGAATGTAGTCCCGGTTATGAGAATAGTGATTGCTCAAAAGTTATCTGTTCTTCTTGTATTCGAGGCACATGTGTGACACCGGAAGTTTGCCAGTGCCATGCAGGATGGACAGGCAGCGCATGTGACGAAGCTATTTGCAGGTAAAGTTTAACAAGGAGTGAAACTTCTTAATAATTTTTTTTCCATATTAGACTTGGATGCCATAAAGAACATGGTAAATGTATTGCACCAGATACCTGCCAATGTCAAGGCCTTTACACTGGATCTAGTTGCGATTTATCATTATTACTAGTTATTCTACCATCTGTACTTGGAGGTTTAGCATTAATTGTTTTCTTGGCCATCTTATTTCGATGGTATCTTAAACGCCAAGCAAGAGAAGCGGCTCTATTAAATCTCGATTGGGTTGTTAATTGGGTAGATATTCAAGCCCTAAAAATAGCCGTATCTTATCTATCAGCTGTTAGTCTGAAAACATCAAATACAGATTCTGAAATCGTTAAAGCTAACGTAGTAAGATGGAAAAGTCAAAAGGTGTTTTGTAAACAGTTTCCAAAATGCCCATCAATTCCTGTTGATAATATAAAGCATAGCATATTGAAATTGAGAGAAATTCGGCATAAGAATGTAATATCATTTATTGGAGCTTGTTTGGAATCCCCAAATGTATCTATCTTATATGAAATTGGCTCAAAGGGCTCTCTTGACGACATTATAGCCAATGATAGTATTAAATTAAGTTGGGATTTTAGATTCTCTATCCTAAAAGATATCGCAAGAGGTCTCGATTATCTGGAAAATCATTTTGGTATAATCAAGTCTATCAAATCAAGCCAATGTATTATTGATAATCGTTGGACCTGCAAGATTCGTCCTCCTTTACCTGATCTATTTCTAATAAACAAAGAAATTGAAAATGATAATGAACTACTTTGGACGAGCCCAGAATTGCTCAATGATCAATTACCAACGAAAACATCATTAGTTTACTCGTAAGAACTTGTTATTACTTCTAAACAAACCTAACGATTCCGTGTTTCACAGATATGCAATTATTGCTTCTGAAATAGCTAGTCGTTGCGGTGCATTTGAAAATGAATTGGTTTACATTGAAGTAGCTGACATTATAGGTCTTGTCAAAGATAAAACCTCAACTAATGTCAAAACAGCTTTTGATGTATGATATATTACTTTATTATTTACGAATTTCATAATAATAGTATTTACTATATTCACGTAATATAGGCCTGGATAAAACACGGAGGTGATCCTAATGAAAATGTAAGACCAAGAATAAATGAAGAGGAACTACCAGATAAGATTGAGATTGCCAAACAAGTGAATAGTTTAATTCATGAATGTTGGAACGAAGACCCAAAGAAGCGCCCCGATTTCAAGGGAATACTCGATAAATTAAGTAAGATTAACCCTGTTAAGGGTGAACTGATTGATAATCTTGTTTCTATGGTAAACATACTTTTTATTCAACATTTCTTTTCGAAGTTACTATCTATTTTGGTTTTGATTTATAGCTGGAACAATATTCAACAAGCTTAGAAGCCATTGTTGCGGAAAGAACTCAAGAACTTCAGATTGAAAAAAGTAAAACAGAGCAGCTAATCTCCCAGATGCTTCCAAAGAGGGTCGCTGAAGACTTGAAGAATGGAAGAAGTGTCGAACCTGAAACTTTTTCCAGTGTTACTATCTTCTTCAGCGATATTGTAGGATTTACAGCCATTGCTAGAGATAGTACTCCTCTTCAAGTCGTTGACCTTTTAAATGACTTGTATTCATGTTTCGACGCTATACTTGACAATTACGATGTCTACAAGGTGGAAACCATTGGGGATGCTTGTAATTAATATATTCTTATATAAATATAAAATAAGACTATATATCCTTTCTCAAAATAGATATGGTTGTTTCTGGATTACCAGAAAGAAATGGAATTCTCCATGCCTCAGAAATTTCGTCAATGTCTCTCCATTTAATGTCGGACATTTCTAACTTCAAAATTAGGCATATGCCAGATATGACTTTGCAGTTAAGGGTCGGAATGCATTCGGGTATGAGTTTTTAAACAATTTAATGGTAGTTAAATAAATGTACTATTATTCAAGGTTCAGCCGTTGCTGGTGTTGTTGGGCTTAAAATGCCTAGATATTGTTTATTTGGAGATACAGTTAACACAGCCAGTCGTATGGAGTCATCCTCTTTAGGTAGATAGAATGCAATAGATTTTTCATAGTTATTTTGAATACATAAATTCATATATACATTTAATCATATTAAAACTTGAATAAAAGCGCTAAGGATTCAAATGAGTGAGACGACTGCAAATCATCTAGATGAAATTGGAGGATTCGATCTTGAATGTCGGGGTGAGAGGGAAGTTAAAGGAAAAGGTATAATGAAGACTTATTGGTTAAATGGTAAAGATAATTTTAATAAACCTCTTCCGTCCTTAAATTTGGCTTTACCAGAAAGTATGCACGAATTTAAATAAAGAAAACCGCACATTTTCATCACTTTTCCGTTGTCTTCTTTAATATTGTTTAACATAAAAATATCACTTGGAGCAAAACGTACAACTCTTTACATTCTATACTAAATAATTAGTATGCCTCTGCACTAGAATAGAACAATAGGTGAAGTATAAAATAAGAAGATTTTCATTTTAGTATTCCAAGCATATAAAGACTATTCTAGTTCTAGTTGAAAAAATTTGAACTACAAACTATGTATCAAGTTCTTACGCAATACAATTGACAGTAATGTCATAAACATTTAATAACTTTACTAATAATTCGTAATTATACTGATAAATAATCATTTTAATGTATTTTTGGAAATTCGTTACATAATGAAAGATTTATAATTACCTTTATCAATCTATTATCTTCATTTGTTAGAAAGATAGAGTAGTAATTCATCATTTCCGAAAACCCTTATAGTGTTATATACATAATGCAAATAACATATATACAGTATATGATGATGAATTTAAAGACTGAACATTCGATTAATTCATCCATTGTTTTACAAGGGTAAGAAATAATTAAAAAGTGTAAATAAAACACTTTATGCTTAATAGCATCTTTAGACACGCTATATTTATACAACAAATAACTTCCGGTCAAAAACATCCAGTTTAACAACAAAATTTATAACTATATTTAGTACATTCATAATTTATCTAACTCATCAGAAATTGTACAAAAATTCCCAAACAACATCAACAATCGCCATTTACAATTCTCTAAAGAATTCAAGCAATGTTTTATTGCACGTGTTAGTAGCATCGAATTACTTAGAGAATAACCAGAACTCCGTAATGAATAAAATTATTACTCAACGAAGCCATATATCCTGTAGCAGTCATTATATTATTAAATTATACAAATAGTATAGAAAGTACTATACTTTGAAAGAGACGATAGAAGAGATTAATGTCTATTATTTAAGATTGACGGCTCAGTAATAGTGAAAGTATGTTACCAATTGGAATCAAGTTGCAATAGATTTATATTTCTTGTAAATTACAGATTGAACAGCATTCATTTCTTCGATAACAATGAAACTTTATAGATTTTTACATCCAAATTTTCTAATAATAAATATTATCTTCTATATCTACTATAAAATAATTTCTTTGACCTTCAACTTTATTCATGATTAAATAAAAATTGAATGTCTGATTTACATTTTTCAACTCGCCTCTCACCGCGCCCTCTAAATCATCCCTCCCCCTCGTTTAGACACAAATTATTGCGTTCGTCCCCATTATTGGAATATTGATACATTTCAATAAGTCATATCGGACAAACATGAAATCTCTTTGATAAAGAGATTTACATCCGTCAAAAAATTCTGTTGAATAAAATCTAATAAATAGTTTACTTTTTGTAATAACGAATGAGCCTCGAAACACTATAAACTGAATATTTATAAATGAATTATCACGAATTAATAAATCATAACCTCTTTTACCTATGAATTATATAGAAAGTGTATATTGTTTTCCTTTTATCTCATGTCTATGCTTAATAAGTATTTGCTGTTTAACGATTTTAACGCCATCTGCATGGTAAAATACAAGTTATTACTTCATCTAATATCGTTCAAAATTTCAAGTTCTAACTTGCTTAATAAAGTATGCAAGAAAGATCAGAATATAATCTATTTTGTTTTACGAAAGAGGGTGGTATACCGCTATTTTCTCGTCTTGCAGATCAATCTATGCAGGTTTACATTTAAATTGATATTTTTACTTTTCCAATTAAAAGAATTTCACCGATTATCGCCCAATATTTAAATAATATAACAAATCTTAATTAACCAAAGCATTTTATATTTTCTTCTTAAAGGCGGAATTATCATATTTTGGAGTATTAAATGGTATTCAAATATTTAATGAAAACCACGACGTTGAAACAATTGCCTGCGAGAAAGGTAACTACCGCATAAGATGGAAGAGTTACCTAAATAGGTAAATAATCAAGGAAATATTGAAAACTATTATAATAATAATGTATTTATCATTTCATAATTTTTACAATTAGAATAACCATGATATTATGTGCAAAGAGTAATATAAAAAGTATAAATCTGATACAATATGAGGAAAGGCTGTTGGATTTGTGCTTTAATTCATTAATCCTGCTGTTCGGACAAGGTGAAATAGAAGGTTTAAAATCTGGTGCTAATATAGAAGTATTCAAGAAAGATGTTAAGGTAAATGTTTCTAAGTTAAAATAAATTAACATCAACTTTAATTTTAAGACTGCAATCTTTCTCCAGCTTGCCTTTAATCTCTTTGATATTTTGCTTGGGAGAGGTTCTTATCACTTATTATCTAGTGTTTGTAATGCTGTAGATGTTGGATATTGTGATTCTTCAATTTTACAAGTAACTAAACTATATATTTCTCAAAAAGCAATTTTTACTAAAATGTTAAACATAACAAAAAATAAACATGAACAACTTCTTATAGGATCATTTGAATGCCTGGGCAGAAGGAGCAAAGAGTCCCTACGGATCGATAATATTAAAAGGTTGCACGATTGTTACAACTGATAAATGGTGGAAATTATCTACCCTTGAGCTAACCTTAATAAATCATTTCTTACTCTCATCACCTGCCTCCCACTGCCGAGATTTCCCAATCTTCTTACCTCACAGCAGTCCTACAGTAAATCTATATACAGTAACCATAGTCTTCAATATTTATAATAAGATGTCTTTAGGTTCCCCACCGTCTAGTGACATTTGAATTATTAAAGGACATTGAAGTATGTTTGATCTGTGGTCCTTCCCCTAGCCTACTAGAATTACAGAGTATGGTTGAAAGATTCTGGAGAGCTGTATATAAGCCATTGAGAAGCTGTTGTTTAAAAGAATTTATACCCATAACTGAAAAATGCGCATCTGAAAGAAATATAATGGGGTATCTATTTTAAAAACTCTTAAAACCTTTCATCACAGCTTATTATTAATTTCAATATACTCTCCAGTTACATTTTAATAAATAAACTATCACAGAGGTGCTCCTATAATATTTATAAATCCGACTTACAAGCAAAAGGTATTAGTCTTATATCTTGAAAAATAATGCATTTGAGTTGAAGCACTACCAATTATCTGCCCTTTAAGGTAAATTTATACTGACAACTACAATTCTACAAGACCTAATTAAAACAAATTTTCATCTTATTTTTGCCAAAGGTATTTTAATTAAATAATGTACATTTACCTATCAATCTGCATATATAACTTTTTTAATAGATCAATTCAAAATGGTACACGGAATTAGCTATGTCTGCTCACTTTACAAATATTACATTCATTTTGAAAATGAGTATGTTTTATTAGTAATATATTTAGAAAATAATTCATCGTACTCTTTGAGGTATGAAAGATTTTTGTTCTTATAAAAAGATATATAAATATTTCACGCTTGTCTTTTAACAGGTCGCTTACGGAGAAAACTCTGCAGGATATTATTGACTCGAAAAGACTTATAACAATGTCGTAGATATTTGAATTATTTTTTTCTTTTGTATATGAAATATATTAAATGCACTGTCTTTTTAAATTTGTTAGTTTGTGTTATCGTCTTATATGCAAATCTGTGAATATACCATTCAACCAATCGTTTGAAGAAGACGATGAAGAATTTTCACTCCTAGTTTCGACTAATTTAGAAAGGTGACTGTCACTTTTAGTTTTCACAAGTCGCTTTGTTGTACACCTGAGAGTTTCGACTTGATTGTCACTCTCCTTCATTGATGAAGAGCTACCTTCTTGAGATCTATTGTCACTTGACGTCATATCACTTGAACATTTACCTCTGTTTTATTAATGACATTATTTAGATCTCCATGAATAGTAAATTTACATTTAATTTAATACAAAACCTTTCGCCTTCTGATGATGATTCACTGTTAGTTTCTTTATGTTTGGCAAGATTGATTATTAATTCATTGGAGACAGCTTCCTCATCTCTTTCATTTGTCTTTTTATCATCAACATTGCATTTGGAATCACTGTCGTCTTCGCTTATGTTATTGTTTGAAACACTTTTCAAAGTAAATTTTGAACATGATGCTGAGCAAACTTTCGACATTTCAGATCCAATAGAACAGGCTTTATTGTCGTTTAAAAGTTCTATAAATTGTTTCTTTAGGGGTGACGGTTGATAAATAGGCTCCAAACTAATAAATACATTCAATTCTAATTATTATATAATATTTTTCATTAAATATCAAACCTGTTATTATTTTCAATTTGTGGCCTAACTTCATATTTTAAGTTGGAATTACAATCACTACTCCAAGTAGAATGCATCTCTCTTGTATACAGCAATTCTCCTTTAGAACATCTGTCATATAAGTATGAATCGTCTGTCAAGCCTCGTTTATTTTCAAAACAATTCGTTTCCTCCGCCAATCTTTTACTACGAAAAGCTAGAAAACAGAATTAAATACAACTATTTAACACTTAGTTAGTTTTAGTTAAAGTTCTGTGTCAGTTTGTCATATGAATGTTCTATGAAACTATACTTTTGAGAGGACCTTTTGGACAGAAAAAAAGATTACCCCAGAAATTCAAATTGAATATCTTCTATTCAAATCAGAAACTTATATTTTAACAAAGTTAAAAATCGAATGAATTTTTAATATTTTAAGATAAAATATGTATTAATCAACAATTATGATTGATTTGCTGAAGGGGGAGAAAATTTTTTCTCTTTAAACAGTTTTAGATTGCTATTATCCATATAAACAGGAAATTGTTTGGTACATTTCTTCATTGCTAAAGAGAAAACAATAAAAAAAATTAGTATATGAAATTTAATCCTAAAAGTCAAACCTTTAAAGTAGGCCAGGTGAAGCGAAAAGACATCATCTAATTTTCCATTTGTTGCTTCCTTTGAATTTTCTGCAGCCAAACAATTAACGATTCGTTCCAAAACTTCTAAATCACGTTCTCTCTTTTTCAATTTTTTTACATCAATCGAAAAAATTGAAGAAATGATTAGAACAGAGAATATAATGAAGCTACACTTTGTCCACATATTTAAAGCGCTTCTTGCAAGTCAAGCTGGCTTTGTGACGAATTTTTCCTTCATATCCTTATATAAACTGTATATTCTCTCATGAAGCTTACTAGCGCTTCATATTTGTAGAGCAAATAATGTTTAAGATGTACAATTAATTATTTATGGAATAAATTCTATCTTTTTATGATTGTATGTAGCTATTGAACTTACTGAGGTGTTGCATTTAATAATTTAGTTACCTTTTTTGATTTTGGCTCTTTCTCTATTATTTTCTATAATCGTACAGTCTTCATTTACATTCTCCACATTGTTAAAATGTTTATTTCTTGACAATTTATCACGAGCATTGTCTCTCTCAGACGTGTAGTCACCTTCAAAGTCTCTCATCCGTTTTGGTTTAAAAGGCGTCTCGCTGCTGTTAATGCTATCGCTAATTCGTCTTTTTGATATTCTTCCCTTTAATTTTCGATTATATAAGACAAGATGTATAAATATATATAGGTGTTCCAATTTCTATGAAGTTTACTTTATATGAACTAACCTTTGTTGATTTAATATGAAACGTGCCATTCTTAGTTATCATGAGATCATTGGATATTCCATTCATCATGCTCTCAACAAAACGTTGTTCACTTCTTTTATTATGAACCTTTAAGACGGATCTTGTTAAATTAACTGGCTTATTCAATGCATCCTCAGTCATATAACTTTTATAATCATCTTCAATAATTGGCGATGGTGGACAAATAACCTCTTCTTGGTCTGATGCTTCTATAAATGCTTTGGTACTACTAGCAAAACTCGGTGGTTTATGCAATGGCACATTAAGTGTTATATCAACTTTAACGCCTGACCCCTTATCGTAAGGATTATCATTTGGCAGTGAAATATTTGTGTCCGGTAGAAGTTTGAGAAATTTGTTTAACATTTCGTAATAATTTAGTTGTTTATAGATAAGCGAAGATGCTTTTATATCGTCTACTGTCTTTTTAGTTTCATCCTTTCAGAAAAATGAAACATAACAAATATTTTATTCATTCACCGCCGTCTCTATACTTACGTTATTTTCACTTTCCGACGTTTCAACTATAAATTGATTTTCTGATGACGTTTTTTGCGATGTACTGTAAAATTCTGATGTTTCAAAAAAAGTTGAACTTCCGGAAGTAGAAGATGTCTGAAAGATATTCATTTAGAGATAATTGTACAGTATTTAAATACAATTATGAAATTACATTTAAATATAATTCAAAAATATGTCGCCTAACAGTTGATTGCAGTTCTTTTTCGGCTGTTGAATGCTTTATTAAGTTTGAATTATCCGAGAAAATGTTCTTGTTTTCTGGTTCACCAATAACAGTATATTTTCCAGCAATAAAGTCCAATTTTTTCGACCAAATGTTATAAACTGGTGACCATTCAATCTTAGTCGTTATGAATGAACCGTTCTTTATGCGAAATTTATATATTTTTGTTTTTGAACGATGTCCAGTGGTTAACACTAAAATTAACGAGTAATTCATTTAATAACGAATAATCATATATAAAACGTTCAAAAATATTTTCTAACCATGTTCAAAAGAGTCTTTTATAGAATTCCAGTCACTTGAACGGAAATGATCAAGTATTGACGTTCCTATAATATCTTGTGGAAGAAAGCCAGTTAAACCAACGGCAAGAGGATGCAGAAAGTTAATCGTCAAATGAACAGTGTGTCGTGTCATGAATTTACTTTCATTTGGAGAAAATCCATCTATAACAGACCATTGAAAAAATGTATATATACTGTATATACTATATTAGTTTATTATTACTTGTATAAGAGCTAACAACCGGGCTGCATTCTAAAGTATAAGTTTTCTCATTATCATTTATCCAGTCATTTGATTGTGTATTACTATTATCATCTGTTGTTGGATACATAACACCACTAAAAACAGAAAAATCATCTTGTTTACTAGCAAAACTAGCTAAATCAAATTTCTTTAGTCGAAAGTAGAATGGATATAATTTATCTTCTTCCCTCTGTTTCGCCTCTAAAATAGAGTATAAAGATATAAATACATATATATATTTTCATATAAACATTGGTATGGTAAGTTTCTTGCTTTACCGTCTTTCGATCTAGCATCAATACAATTTGAGTAGCAAGTTGATATTGTACATTTATCATTTGAATGAAGTATTTGAACGAACGGCTTCCTTATCAAAAAATTCTGCATAGGCAAAAACATAAACACTAATAAGCTATATGTTTTAAAAAAAGTATTTAGCACTAACTCTTGGATAATTCAATATTCTATTCAATAAAGCTTCTGGTGCTTCCAATAGTGTCATATCAGTATCGGATAGTACTAATTTATACCATTTTTGTTTTGCATCTATTGGTAATTTTAACCCACATGAGCTTAATTTATCCTCCATTCTTTCTTCATTTGCATTCAGTTGATTATCTATAAAGTGAATATACAGGTAAATGCACTGAATTGCGGTATTTTGTTCATCAACTAACCTTTTAACTTATTCATATAATTTACAGCATGTTTCAGAGCCGATAGTGTATCAGTTCTACCTCTTGTTTTGTTCAAAGGAACAAATGTCTTCAGTTGTTTAATACATTTTTTCATAAGTTTCTTTCTAAAAAACTTCTTTTCCAGCGTATTGACATTGTCAGATGATCGTCCACTACTCTTTGATCTGTCCTCTAACGAACTAATACTATTATGATATATTTTACTTCCACTATTATTGGAAGACGGAGTTGACTGAGTTCCATACGTTGAATCTTTATTCGTGTAATACATAATCTAAAATAGAATAGAACAATGAATTAACTAATAAAATTCCACTGTATAACACGGATACTACTAAATTTTTTTTCATTTAACCGATTGATTAAGTGCATTAATCAAAGCAATTAGTTATTATACACAAGGATACACAATAGAAAAAAACACCTTACGTCGTTTAGGTCTTTAAGAGAGGAAGAGAGACAGGAGTTGAGAATTACAGCTTATTTCTCTTTATTTATTGAAAAACTAGAGATAAACCGAATAAAAAATTATCAATGAAAATATAAAATCATACAGCGCTTCATTCACTAATCTCTTATAATGTTTATTAAGATAATACATGACGTTCATTGGTTATTGCGTACAAAATGTTATGTACGTTGAACATACCTTTTTTATTACTATCTATAAGTAGTAAATAGGCTTAGCAATAGGCGTAGTTTTATCTATTGTTAATTGAAATATAGAAAACGGACATGCTTATAAAATAATCAGAAAATACATATTTTTCTGACAGAAAACGCCCATGTAAAAGCCCCTTCACTTTTAGGTTTAATATGTTATTATCTTATTTATTACCATGTCATAAATGTGTATCGTTTTTATATAAATATTTCATTTATGTATTTCTTTTCGAAAATTAAAAGTTTCAATATGAAAATTATGTTAATCTCTTGTTAATAGAGACAATATTAATTGATCATTTCGTATGTGTATCTTTAACATAATTGAAATAAAAAGGTTTGTATAAAGATATAATTATCCATATTTGTAACTATGGAAATGAAATTTTCTTTGATTGAAGAGGTCTTTTCAATCAGCGCTTCAAACCTAACCCTTAACCCTATACGCTCTCTCTTTACTTAATTGAACGAGGGTAATAAGCCTTGAAAAATAGAAATGTGAAAGACAATCTCTATAAAACGTATAAGGTGACTTAGATCTGGCATATATGCGTGTTTTTTTGTGTATATAAGATGTATAGAGTAACTGACGTGTATACTATTATGGAAATATTTATTCATTGAGTAACGACTTTTTTCATGTAGTCTTTTTTTGGCGATTAATTTATATCATACTTTCTAAATTTAGCTGCTTTTCGCAATACTGATCTTATTTAGATAAGTAGTTTAAAAATTAAAGCATTTAACTTAAAATAGTAAATACCACACAAAACAAAATCTTAATCTCTCGATTTTAGTGACATCTGCATGTACATGAAGTACAACGCCACCTATAACAGAACGTTGTCAGCTCTAATGGCCGCCAACAGCCGAAATGGCCGAGATATACGAGAGCCTTTTAGGCGAAATTTTGTCAGAATGCGGCGGTAAAAATTGGCAAACGGCCGACGAATACCTGCGCAAAAAATATGATTTAGGTTTACAGATATTTTAAAAAAAATTTGAGACCTTTGTTCATATGTTCTCTTTTTTCAGATCTGCCTAGAAATTTAACTGTTCCGCTCAAGGTCCTCGGAAAATTCGACGGTAAAACCGAAACTTCTGAGGAATCGGAAGAAGAAGATATTATAGATGAATTAGATAGGAGATTATACAGTCGAGGACCTTGTGTCGACTTTTTGCTCGTCAAATGTAGGGTCTGCGGGCACGTTTTAAGGGCACAGGGTTTAAAATACCATATAACTTCACTTCATAGGCAAGTTTATTTTTTAAATATAGAATTGAGCTATTCCAGTGTCATTGCAAGTAATTAATACCACGGTTGGAGACGTTCTGAAGCAATTTGGAAAGCTGTATTTTTAATTATAGAGCTCCACAATCCACCTGGATATTAATCTTTGCAAACAATGCTAAGGAGAAGTACAGAACAGTTGGTGCTGATAATTAAGCATCACTTGGCAGAATAAGTTATCCATCTCGAGAGCGAATTGTTCAATAATTGAATATTATATATATATATATGTATTCTATGCGGATAGAAAAAAAAATACTCATTAGAATATCTTCAGAATGGTTATTCTTTACAATTACGGCTCTTATTCTATATAACGAAAATCTCTTGTTATCTGCTTAAGATTGGAACTGTAATTAAAGAAAAACAATTTTGCAGCTCTCTCCAAAGAATGAAACTTTCTATAGAATATTCTGTTCTTTTCTTGAGCTGGCAGCTATTTATCTTTTTCTATTTGCGCTAATTAACCTACTTTTAACAAATTCAATTATTTTTATTTTAGGGATGTCGCAATTAACTATAAACGAAAACGCAGGAGGAATCAATCCATTAATACCACAGATGTAGATGAATGGGCTGACATCGTCGGTGAAAATGGCTGGATCAAGCAGGAACCGGAAATAGATGTAAAATACGAACCTGAGCCCGAAGTCAAATATGATCCAGAACCACCTGAAAAGTTACTTTTGGATGATGATAGTGACATCAGTCGTAGAAGCTCGGCTGACTTCTCGTTCGCCGTAAGCCCAGCAGAAGAGAAAAAGAAAGAGACAAACGTTCGTAGTTCTCATTCAACTGTAGCTGCTATTCTATCATCGAAAAACATTACAAATGAGAAAGATAGCCAAAGAAGAAATTCACATGGAGAGAAGAATGGTGGAAAAGTCAAAAATCATAAATTATTACCGTGTAAAGGTTGGTTTAAAGTATTTGATTCCTTGTTACTGTTATTAATCGACGATAGAAACCCAGTTTCCATGCCTTCTGAACCTGACCTTTGATCGAATTTCTTTGCGCCTTATTGGTTATATATATATATATATGGAAATAGACAACTAGACTTCATTTTGCCACAAGACAAAACCTGATAGTAATTTATGACATTGAAAGGGGAGACAATTGTTAATATCTTAATCTCATGCAGTAGCTAATGTACACAAATCTTTATTTATCTATTAATCGAACGTCATATTCGTAGGTTTTATCTTAATATTCAAAGTATATAACCCTTGAAATACTTAATTGAAAGAGGTTACCTACATTCTCTACAAGACTCTGTAGTCTTTGTAAAATGCTAATAAAATATTATATAACCACAAGAGATGATGTAGCATCAAACAAATATGTTCCATTAATAATTATAAGTATATTTGGTTTCATTTTTTTTGATATATGAACATAAAAATCTTGATACTTTCTTTTTACTTTGTATTTTTATACTATTCTCTTAATCAATTATTAAACCATGGAATTTTTTTGTGTTTTATCGATTCCTTCCTTTTTATAATATCTATTACGTTTGTAGCTTTCAGAGGCCATTTTATCTTTTATCATAGACATATATTATATTTAACGTTAGAATATATATATATATATATATATATATATATATATATATAATATCATCCTTTTAATTGTCAGCATAGCAATATTAAACAAGTATTGAACAAAGTGTTCCGTTGACAAAAAGAGCATAAAGCGGGAATGTCATAATATCTATTGAATTAAATTAATGTTGAGATAAACCGACTTTACTTCTAAATATGACTAATTTGGCGTAAATAAGCGTGTGAAGCTGCCCATAAGATTAAAGTACAATATAGGGATATCCTGTTCCTGTTTAAGAGTAATCCTTTCCATTCATGCTGCGATAAATAGAGGACAGTAAATTATTTTGAGCGAATATATTGGAAACAAAGAGGATAAAGGAAAATATTCGTGAGTGAATAATCAGCTCTGAGAATTAAAAATTGTCTCCTAAAGATATTCAGCTGTATATTTATAAATAAAACAAATTGAATGGTATCAAATGTATGTTTTAAAGCAACATTCGTTTTTCCATATTTTCTCTCTTTGTTCTCTTGACCTATAAAATGACAGTAATCGACCTAAACCTTTTGGATTCCTTTCGTTTATTCGCAATTAATATATGTGAATAAAATTGGGGGCAAATGGAATGGTTTAACGGATTTTTACATTTACAATTTGTAAAGCAAAAATTTATATTTTTTTGTTTTAAATAAATAGAGATCATAATCAGGTATTTATTGGGTAATCTCTAAAGATATCGTTTATAATTTCCATCCTACACAAGAACGGTTGTTCCACTCTTATATTTATATACCCTAAATAACCTTTTAAAATCATAATAACTGATAAGATAAGTTATTCTTTAAACAATATCACTTTGAAGGCTGTAAGATGAATTCTTACTAGATTTTTCTGCGTATATTAGAAGCTCTTATCTCATAGTATTTTTTAAAATGTTTATTGTATTATGAATAATATTGAATTTATTATAAGGTACTCTTTTCAATGTGATCTATTGTTATTTTTGATTAATATCAGCAAGTTTGTATTACGTGCTATACAGTTTCTTCTTTACTAAACTGGTTAAAGCAGTTGCTGTTTCAATAATGTATTATTTAAATCTTCAGTTTCCTATGTCAAAGATGATATAGCTAAAGGCGTTTCTTTTTCTATAGCACTTGTTGTAAAATGTCGTTCCTTTAATTCTACTCTAAACCCGGTAACTTTTTCAGATAGGCAATTTGATCCAGATAAACATTGCGGTGTTTGGTTAGAAGAACAGAAGCGACAATGCACTCGATCTTTAACCTGCAAAACTCACGCTCTTTCTTTGAGAAGAGCTGTAAAAGGACGCTCAAAAGCATTCAATCAGCTTCTACAGGAACACAGAGATGAACGAAAGGCAAGGAACTCTTCCGCAGGCGCCACTCCACATCCAACTGTTAATACAACTACGGCTACAGTCTCTACTAACAACAACAGCAACAATATTAATAACAACAACAATAATAATAATAATAATAACAACAATGGAACGATAATAGACCAGAAGCCGAAATCTCTAAAAACTCTCCAGTATACTAGTCTTTCACCGTACGAATATTTTATTAAAGCTGCAAAATTAAAGAATTAAATTTTTAATGTTTTCTCTACAGTTCGGAAAGATCATTTCGTCCACAATCTAGGTATTTAGATATGCGATATGAGGACGACAGTGACTCGGAGGATGAAACTTCGACCTCTATTACCTTATACCCGTTGGCCGCAAATAATTGGCATTGCTCAAACTGCCCGAAGGGACCTCGTATTTTCTCCCGAACAGTGAATCTTTTTCGGGCCGCTGCTAAGTCAATACTAGAGCCAAAACCAGCAAAGCCTCCACAACCAGTACCTACGACTCCGTCTATTACCCTAACTTCAACAAATAATTTCTTGATAAGCTGCGGTGGACTAAAAATTAAGGATGCTGTGTCTGGAGGAATGCAACCACCAGCTAAGTATGTAAATCCTTATCTAAATCACATAATTTTCTACATAAACTTGTAAGTCTTCTTGGAACAACAAGAATTAGTCTTAACATAAAAAGTGAATATATGATAGAAGAATAATGTATTTTGCATCTAGTCTATATGAATAATTTCAAATTTGACATTAAGTATTAAATTACCAATTGTGAACAATTTATTGTTTTTAATTGCAATATTCATCATTCCATTTTTTTTATTAACTAGGAAACTTTGTTTGGAATCAAATCAAATTGGCTTAAACGAATCTACAAGGCAAATTGGTATAGCTCAAAAATTGACATCTGGCTCGCCAACTACGACTTCGACAGCAATGCTCCATCTAAATGGGACAAGTCTGAATATAAATGCTTTAAAACGAGATAGAAATAGGAATAACGTCCCTCAAACAACAGTTCCTACCAACTTATCAACAGTAACGACAGCTCAGCAACAAAACAAAGGAGTCAATATAGTTGTTGCAAGTGTAGACCCCACTCAACTGGTCAATGGCCAGTTGGTTGGTTTGCAATGGAACAACTTACTTAAACATTTTAAGCAGGTAAATAATTTGCAAAATACACTATATCTATGTTAAGATGATTACACTTGGCTTTATATTGCATATTTCATGCGTCTCAACTTAGGTGTATTATTAGTTGATAATTAACTATTTTTGTGTCACTTGCTTATCAACATACAATTAAGTGGTTTATACTATATATAATGGAAAAATAGCAACTGATCTCTCTTTTTCATTTTTTTATTGGTAACAGACGACTACATCTAGTCCCCAAGCAGACCAATTAAAACAGCATTCACCGAAGCCAATAGCAATCGTTAATGCCCAAAAATTTCAAAAGATTACCCCTAATTCGACGCAACAGCTAACAGCTCAGTTCGTGGCAGCTCAACGACAACAACAACAACAGCAGCAATCAACTCCAATGCCGCAAACATCGAAAATACTCACTAGATCGCGGGGCGTTAACAAAGTGAACGCTATACAACCGCTTTCACTGACCATTCCAATCGTTCAAGCACCTCCTAACAGACCAACTCTACTCGTCCAAAATGATGATGGTGGGCAAACTCTACAAAATAATACTGTCATGTAAGGCTAACGGTGGGGATAATCTTTCTGCAACAGATGGTTACAGCGTTATCTAATACGTAACTCTTATTACATTTGGTGATAAAAGTGGTCGTGACTGGTTTTTAATAGCAAATACTTCTAATAGTATCTTTTTATTGAGGATATTTTCATGCAGATTTAAAAGATTTTCCATTATTAAAGCAAATTTGTCGATTTCGTGTTGTTAACGAACGAATAGATAAAATAACATTGATTTATTTTTTCTTCCAGTCAACTTAAAAATATTTAATTAGTATAATTGACTATAATTAGCTCCCTGATATCACACGAATGACTTTTCAACATTATTCTTAGTTTTAAAATTGCACTTGTTATTCGTTCTATTGTTATTCGTCAAACTTTTTATGCCTCTTTATTTATTCTGCCGTATTGTATATTACTTTTAAAAGAGCAAGAAGGCAGCAGATTTCTGAATAGTTAAACTAATTTCTAATTTATTTATCATTTAACATAATCAAAATATTAAAGATTATAACTTTTGATTATTATTTAAATCCAAGTTTCCTTTTTTAGCATATTATTAAGAATATAAAAATATATTCAATATAGGAAGCTTATGTTATCAATTACGTTATATTCGCATTAGTTATGAAACCGTCCTTTCCTCTTTTCTATGTTTCATTAAAAAAACAAGTAACTGAATAATAATCAAAAAAGGATATTAGTAGGGAAGTACTTTTGGCCGTATAACTGTTACAATTAACGATAAAAGAAAAACAGCTCTGGCAATAGATTTCATAATAATTTTTCATCTTACTCCTTGAATGAATGCCATTTGTTGCAGAGGTAATCCCATAGTGTTTCCAAACATTACGTAGGAAACTATAGATATATATATATATATATTAGTATGTTTATATAATTATTTATGGTGCTCCTTTCAAAGGTTGATATAAAAAAAAGGTAGGAGATAAAGATAAAGGCAAGATTAAGGAAGAATTAGGCTATTTTTTCATATCATAATTTTTTATGGCAAATTTTGTTAGCTTCTTTTAAAAATTCATTGTTAACGTCTCATTTATACATAATTGATTATTAAAATTTAATATTTTTCAAATATGACTTTATTAAGATATTCCTAGTTAAGAGCATAAGTTTAATGAAAGCCGCTTTTCTTTAAGCTTATGTTGACTGTTTTATCTCCAGCAGGATCCATAAACTCTTTTCCCGACATATCTGTAAAATTCTGACAGGACAAGATTTCGGAATCTTCAACCTGGATAAAAACACACTTTTCAGTAACATTTAATGCTTTCCTATAGTATTTTCATACCATTTTCAACTGAGTATAATTTGGATGATGATGCTTATAAATGGGATCATTATCAGCTCTGTTGTAAGACAATAATAAACACCATCTTCTAAGATCGCTATCATTCTTATCCGATGTATGTAGAACATTAGAATGAAAAAAAAGAGCATCTCCAGGTTGAAGATCAGCGTATACAACACCTCCATAGTGTTCGCACAAAGCATTCACTCTGTCGTAATTAGCGACAGTTTGTCCATGCAGGAGATCGTGCTCAATTCTACCGGCTTTGTGAGTTCCAGGTACTACCTGTTAATAAAAGAATTGTAAAAGCCATTTTAAGTGATAGCGGACTCTTACTTGTAGTCCACCGTTAGTCTTATTGCAAACGTCAAGAGCGATGAAAACAGTCAAAACATCTGGTCTGAGCATACCATTTTTATACCAATAGCCGTAATCTTGATGCCAAAGATGTTTACCTCCCGTATGGGGTTCTTTCATCATTAATTTAGAGTGATAGTGGTACACTTCACCACCTAATAATCTCTCAGAAGATTCCACCAGTCTTCTACTCCTTGCTACCATTCCGGTTACATCATTTCCGGGATGGCTCCATATAACCAGCCTGCTGGCTCTTCCTTCGCCATCGGCTAACTGTTTACACAATTAAAAATTTTAGCGCTAAATTTATTTATCTAAGAAAAGAATAGGTAAACAGAGCAAAGAACGCTGCCACTTACGTCCCAAGCCCGACTAGTAATTAGGTCAGTTTCTGTTATTCCTTTAAGAATATGGTCTATTTCCTCTTTGGAAAATAAATTTCTGGTTCCAAATATAGATAATTTAATTTATTAATAGAAAGCAAAAAAGGAAAGAGATCTACAAAGGAGCCATTTTATTGTGTTACCTGACGCAGAAGACACCTTCATCATCATAGACCTTTTTTATTTCGTCGTTGATCTCGAATTTACCGGTGTTCTTAAATTCTAATAAATGTTAAGCATAAAATCTATGAAAAATCAATAAACTCCTGACAAAAATGACTACATAACTTGTCTTTATAGTTAGTAGTCCGTTTTAATATTTAAAATGAAGATAATAACATTCACCCTGTATAGTATTATTTTCTCTTAGGTGTACGATTTGTGATTTATCCATTGGTAAAGTAATTATTTTAATTGTTCAACTTTCGAAGATTGGCTGATAGCTGCTTCAGAGAAAGAATATTCAATGTCAAGGCCGCTTGCTGAATTGCTCTGTTTTACTTTTTTTTACTAGCAAACCAAAACAAAACAAACCAGGCACTTGAATAGAAAATGGTAGAGTTTTTTTGATTAACTAGATGGCGCTTTTAAATTTTGTGTGTATGATATACATTTATTAATTATGTTTATATTGTAAAAGAGACAATACAAGTCAATTTTTCAAGGTTGTACAGTGTATAAACATTCATGAAACAATAGCTTGCTTGCTTGACATAGATTTGATAAAAGATAAATTTATTCTAAATGGAAATCAGCAAAATTATCTGACGGGTGGATTATAAATTTAGATAAAATAACAAAATAAGAGAATATATATTGTATATCTAAAAATAATCTATCTAACAATTTATGCCTACTAAGGAACAATCTAAAGAACGAATATCTAAGAATCAAGCAAACAAAACTAAATCTAAAATACATCTCTCTATTTACATTCTATATGCTAAATACTATACTTTGTATATATATACTGTATATATATTTTATGAGCGCTATATATCTATGTATTTAAGTTGGATATATATTAGATTTTGTTAATCTAGATATTTTATATAAATAAACAATAGCAAAACATCCCATCATATAGTATATGTATGTGTATTATATGCAGTGAATAATAGAAATATCATCTGTCTTTAATTCGTCTCCCCCCCTCTGCTCCTCCCTTATTCTAGTATTAGAATTCAAATTTAAGATAGATGGAAGAAATATTGGAAAGGGGAAGGTAGGGGAAAATTACATGAAACTATAACAGACTTCAATGATATCCACTCTTTTTTAATCGTAAATGCTGGTCATAATCTTTTGGATCAAGGAATTCTTTTCCAGACATATCCGTAAAATTTTGACATTCTAAAATAGCTGAATCTTCCACCTAATTTTTGTTTTTGAAGCGAAATCTTTACATTTGATTTATTGTAATATATTATATTTTTTATTTACCTTGCTCAATGGTGTATAATTTGGGTGATGATGCTTGTAAATAGGATCATTATCAGCTCTGTTATACGCCGTTAGGAAGCACCATCGTCTCATATCGCTATCATTCTTATCCGATGTATGTAAAAGATTAGAATGGAAAAAAAGAGTGTCTCCAGGTTGTAAATCGGTATAGACTTTGCCTCCAAAATGTTCACAAAGAGCTTGTACTCTTTCATCATTGGCGGCTGTTTGCTCAGCTACGGTGAGATGTTCAATTCTACCAGCTTTGTGACTTCCCGGTACAACCTAACATTTATGTATACACTTTAATTGGATATATTATACATTAGCAGATGAACAATTATAAACGTATTTAACATAATAATGGCTTATTACTTACTTGAAGGCCGCCATTTGTCTTGTTGCAGACATCAAGAGGTATAAAAACTGTAAGTACATCGGGCCTGAGCATACCATTCTTATACCAATATCCGTAATCTTGATGCCATAAATGCTTTCCTCCAGTTTTCGCATCCTTCATCATTAATTTTGTATGATAATGATATACCTCGCCTCCCAATAAAGCTTCACAGGTATCAACTATGCGTTTACATCTAGCCACCATTCCGGTAACATCATTGCCAGGATGCTTCCACAAAGCTAATTTAACGGATCTTCCTTCACCGTCCGATCTCTATTTAAAATAAAACGAATTCTTAATTAATTATATCAAAGAAACGAACAAGAAACTACTAACACCCCAACTTTTGCCAGTAATTTCATCTGTCGCCGTGATTGCTTTCAGTATATGGTCTATTTCTTCTTTCGAAAATAAGTTCCTATAATTAAACATGATATAAAAAGCTGCTTTCTTTTTTGACAAGCAACGATACTATTTCCGGAAATGAGAGGATGATTCTTTTCATTTGTCTTTGCAACGTTAGAGTCTAATATATTCTTTTAGAAATATTAATAGTAATTACCTGACGCAAATAACTCCTTCTTCATCGTACATGGCCTTCATGTCGCTTGTTATTTGGAATTTACCAGTATTTACTACCTCTGTTATATTTGATGAAATACATAATACTAATTCACAGAACAGATATCATATTTAATAACTATTACCTGGTACTGAAGAGTTTTCCCTTAACTTGACAATTTTACATGTTTTTTCATCCATTCTTTATATTAATTCTCCTGTTCAACAGAATTATAAAAAATGGAAAAAAAAACCAAACTACACTTAATAAGAAACCAGTCTAACTCTTTCAACTTTTATTGTTAATCGATAAATTGATAATATTCCTCTGAGCCTATAGGTTTTATATTAAAAAAAAAACTATTGTATTCAAGATACGTCTTTGAGTAAACAAGTTTAAAAATAAATATATAATAATTATCTCTTTCACTGTTTTTCTTTTATATAAGAAAATAATAAAAACTATAATAAAGCAACGTGAAAACTTTACAATACTACTTCTATAATAATAATTAAAAAAAGGAAGAGTAATAAGGGTAGAGACGTTTCCAAGAAGATTCCTATATTTGCGATATTAATAGACTATCTTTTATCCAATCAGAAAGCGAAATAGAAGTTATTTACCTTTTATTAATTTAAACAAAAAATACAACAAAATAATAACAAAAAGAAGAATAACGATCGCAACAACAGACACTAAAAATCGAGTAACAGAAAAAATGTGAGATTTGAACTGACTAGGTGACATTACATAATGCAAAATATTTAATATCATAAATTTAATATGAATTATAGGAATTTGAATATAGCAATCCAATAGAAAACGTTAAAAACTGCAAAGAAAATTGGAAAGATTATCCTTGAAATCTTATCTATTGCAATTGATAAATCTCTTCGTCTTAAAGGACTTTTCTTCTTCTTCTTTCTATAAGAGAAAAGAGATTTCAATGCTTATTTATATATATATATATATATTGAAAGGTTAATTAGAGACTGAAAAGGTAAAAGATTTAGTTGGGAACTCATGTCACAACTTTTCGTTGATATTTCCTAATAAATCTTATTATGGACGTTAAACAGCAATTAAGCTATAAATTAATAATAGTATTACATTTTGCAGCTAAACTTTTTCATTTTAATGTGTCGTCTACGAATTTGGTGATTCATTGTTGTAGATACTCCATCAGTTTCTCTTGATTGTTCCTTTTCCTTAACGATAGTTAATGAAAATTAATTAAACAATTTAATAAGAATACAGTAGAATATAATTACTTCAATTGTAGTTTTATCATCTTTTACACCATATTTTACTCCATTAACAATGGAAAATTCAATAAACGCTGCGCATGTAAATATTAGGCAAGCAAAATTCCAAACGTCTAATGTTGTTACATACGATACAGCTGGAGATAGATTTTTTAAACCAGACATCTGAGTAATTTGAGTAAGAACCGTTAATAAACCTAACGAAATTCTAGCAGGTATAGCTTCGTTATCAATCCAAAATGAAATCCAAGATATCATAACAATCAGAATAGACGGTAAATAGAATTGTATGATATAAAAATCATATTGTCGTTCTAAAGTAAAAACTGTCTTAATACATGTAAAATTACCAGTTAAGTAGTTCTGGGTACAATTATCAAAAATCATATCTTTTAATTCATATTTCGGTAATTCATTTTCAATATTTAATTGAACAGGATTCTTTTTTTTCCAATAGAACATTAATTCTTCAGTTGTATAGCCAACTATAGAAGATATTATATTAAGAACAGTTAATATAGGATATACAGTATAGATTATATTTGAAGAGTTTTCTTTATAAAATGTTACTTACAACTTTCTAAGTAGAGAGGACAAACTTGAGTATCAACGGGGAATTTTAGGAGTATCATATTGCACGAAAGTTTTAAAGTTATCCTATAGAATATTCTTCTATGTATAATCTATAATTGTCTATATATATATATCACCTTCTAACCTCTGACTATAGGTAACCCTACCATCTTCGGATACGGTAATTAGTTTATTAGGATGAATCACGCGATGAACATAAGCTTTCTTTTCATTTCTAAAAAATAAATCAGGAACCCATAGAATATCCCCATAATGATAAGATAAAGTTAATTTTGTTAAGTTGTGCCTTAAACGTTCATCTCTCCAAGATTGACGCATAAAGATACTAATAGTATACTCCTGTTAAATAGAAAATATATAAATATATATAATAAAGTAGTAGTGTTATCTATCAATAAAATTTACCATCAATGATTCACTAATTGAACCAAAGCTATTAATATACATATTCATTTCAACTTTGTCTATTTCACCTTTAATATAATTATTAATTATTAATTAATGAATTAATTACAAAATTAAATCAAATAAACTAACCTTTAGAAAATCCTGGTCTTATTCCATTCTGATAATTTTCGCTGTTTATTCTTTTTAAGAATTCTTTAACCTTATTATCGTTCTGATTACTGAATATCTTAATTAGAATGAATATATACATTAGATATAATAAACTATCTTACTTACCCGTTATTGCAATGAAATATAACGAATAAAGTAAGTAAATTTATTCTCATATCTCACTTTTAGTTAGGTTAGTATGAGAGTTAATGATAAATAATATTATTAATAATAATTAACATTAACTAAACGGTATGAAATGCAATATGCTTTGAAATGAGCCACCAGTAGTAACACAAGTCTCACTCTAATTCTCGTATGTATTTACTATCATAATAATATTAATAATAAAAAACTTAATATCAACAGTTGTTAGTATTTTCATTGGTTATTCTAAAATATTCAATTTTTTATATACTTTTTAACTAAACTGTTGTCTATCTCTCTCTCTTTCTCTCTCTCTTTCAACTGTTCTTTCAGCTGCCATATCGGCTTTATTCAATCATAATTGAGTATAAAAGTGACATATGGAGTTATGAAATTGAATTTGATCAATTAATCGGTTTTTTTTTAATAATATTTTAACTAGTTAACAATAGATCTTTTTTTTTCTAAAATAAAGTTTTTTTCATTAAATAGCGCCATCTGTTGTATTCTTTTGTAAATGAAATGTAAATATATATTATAAGTTTCTTATTATTGATTGAAAAAATAGAATAACATGAGAATTTTAAACATTTGAATATTCTTTACTTTATTTTATATAAGAATAGATTATCTTTGGGAAACTTACTCTGATCAAACATCAAAGAAGTCTCTCTGTTAACATAGAGATATTAAATTCTAAAACTAGATGGCAATACGAGATGCAAAGAGTCAATATCGTCTGCTTTAGTAGGAAATAACAATAAACACGCTACATTGAAGAAAAAACTCCATGACAAGTTACATTGAGACAATTTTAAAGAAAGAACTGAATTGTTCTTCTGTTGAATTTATTCAAAGACCGTCCCAAGATAGTATTAATAATACTGGTGTATATAATACGAGTTTCGGCCCAGTATTTGTCAAAGAAAATGACTTTAAACTGGTTGTAAAAATTATATCCTACATCTTTATTTATATAATATAACTTGAGAATATTTCTTATTAAAAGGGTCTGGATATGTTCCAAGTTGAAGAGGAAAGTTTAAAATTGATAAAGGAAACTGGAACCATCAGAGTTCCAAATGTTCTCAAAGCAAGTATTGTTTTACTAATTCCCCATGGTATAATTTTTGGTTGATTTCTTATCAAAACTAGGTTATAGATAAGAATGAAAGAGATGGTGCAATAATTGTATTAGAATATTTAAATGAACTTAAGCCTATTGAAGGAAAGACAAGTTGGATGAATTTTGCTAAAAGAGTGGCTAGATTGCATAAAGATAACATTAATAAACTAGAAATAAAAAAGAAAGCCGAAAGTTCCATTCATAATAAAACAATAAAAGCCATTGAAAAGTTCGGCTTTCATTTCCCCATTGTTTTTGGACCAATCTATCAAATTCAAGCTGATACGTGGTATTCAAGTTGGCCAGTGAGTAGTAATAGTCGCAGTAGTTCAATTTCTCTTTCATCTTTATTATGCCATTTTTATTTTAACAGGATTTGTATCTTAGAGAAATTCTTAATCCGATGATAAACGCTTTTGAACCGTTATCGGGCCAAAGTGAAAAGAATAAGAAACTATACGAAAATTGTCGAGAAATGATGATTAACATTGATAAAGTATTCAAGGGCTACGATTATAAACCGTCTTTATGCGTCTCTGACTTAGCTAGTGATAATTGTGGTGAAATCGACGGTGAACCTATCATCTATGACCCATATTGCTCTTACAGTCATCACGAATTCGATTTTACTCAGCCGTTAATTACTAATGATTTCCCGCCAGAATTTTATCAGGCCTACGATGCCGAATTTGGTGCCAGACGGGGATCAAAAGATCGTTCTTTAGCTTATAGATTATTCGGACACTTGATAAGAGCGAATCACGATCTAGACAGAGAAGAAAACATTGAAAAAGGTCTCGAGCTGACAGAAAAATTAATCGACCTCTCAAACAAGAGCTAATCGTCTTCCTTCATCTTGATTTTAACAATGAAACACAAGTGTCAAAGGTGATTTAAACGACGCTACTTGAGTGACGCTTTTACGTTATTCAAAACTTGACATGCTCCGCCCCATCCATGATAAAAGAGTTACAAGTGATCAATTCATAAGATAATCGATTTTTTATTTTTTCTACCAAATTTAATTACCTAATCAACAATGAATGAATGTAAATAGTGCTTAATTAATTACAAACTATACACGCCACAAATATTCAGCCTAAAAGATGAATAAGCATATGGTATATGAACGATAATTAATTATCTTTATATATTTTTAAAAACTAAGGCATCTATTATAAAAGATATATTTAATAATTAATAAATCATATTGATATATACAGTACACTATATATTTTAAAAAGTTAGATAAATCTATTATCAAAGGAAAATTTATATGGCTGATTAATCACCTCATACCTTTTTCATCACTTTTTGACAAGTCATCTGTTTTACTTGCCGACGTTTCGTCGACATTAGAATTGGTTGATCTCTTTGTTGGTAAATCCTCGTCATTGTCATAACTATCTTCTTCTTTTGCTTCTCTCTCTATCTTTTTTCTCTGTCTCCTTTTTCTCCTCTTTTCTTTCCTTAGTCTTTTTCGTTCCTTCTTTCTTTCGATTTTTAATCGTAATTCTTCATTCCTTCTCTTATCTTGAATCATTTGTAAAGTCATTACTTTCATAACATCAGTATTTTTTTTATCGCAAGTGTCGTCCATCCTTGGGGTTTCTCTCTCCTCAGCAGTCCCGCAGATACCACAACACGGCATAAAAGCGAATCCAGCAATTCCCAAACAGTGAAAAATATTGCACCGACAACAGCATCCCAAGAGTTGAGCAACTCCTCCTGTCCGATTATTTATATGTATACATAAAAATGACCTTTGAATATTTTGGAATTATTAAAGAATTCTATATAAGAATTATATAGATATATATATAGATATATGTAGTGTATACTTAATAGAAGAGAAACCATAATTGTTAATATTTCATTAAACGTTTTATATAGACTTTTATGCAAATACTGTATTATTTAAATATTAGTTGTTGAAGTTAATTGATTAATTTAAAAGTTTAAAATAAAAGAAATCATTGTAATATTTAACGACCATTAGATGGCGACCTTATCGGCTGTAAAATACCAACACGTCATCTGTCAGGAGTTGTTAAGTGTAATATTATAAACATTTGAGTTATTCTTGACCCAATAACCCCGACCATCGCATACATCTTCCTCTTAGATCAATTCTTTGTAGAGTTCCCCCTCTTAGCAAACCGCCTTTATTGAGTATATTTATCAGATAAGATGCAGTTTTTCAGATAATTTTTTCATCAACATATAAAAAATGAATAATAGTTTGTAAATTGTTGTGAAGCTTGTCATCATTTCATCGTTTCCTATATAGGTATAAATTTTCTTATTCATCCTTTAAAAGGTTTCAAGTTACGCTCAATTAATCATTGGATTAGCTTGAATGAGTAAAACGTTACCTGTATTGTATTACTCGAATGAAGGAGATGGGCTATATACTGTATACTTTAAGTATTCAAATATAGACGAAAAAATATAAGATAACAACAACAACAACAACAACAACAACAGCAAATGCAGAACAACACATTGAAGAGCTGTCTGTATGAAAGCAAATTGCTTACGACCCTTATCGTCCAAGCCTTAGTCAGAATGACAAACGACGGGCATACAATCAGCAATAGCCGAGATGGGCGTGTATGATAAGCGTCAGAAATCGATCGTATATAGGCTATAGTTTGTCCCAGTCCAATAGGTACCAATTCTCCTTGTTTTTATAGTTTTATCCTCTTTTCCCAATTCCAAACTAATACACAATTTCCTAATTACTATTTAAAAATAATGTAATTTTTTACTCTCTTTCTTTTAGTGCTTGGATAATTTTCAACTAAAAATAGTTCACTATTTACTAAAATCTATATAGATCTATACAGTATATATATAGAGAGAGAATATAAAAAACAATATATCTAAGATTGTATAAAGTGTATTACTACTTCACGCAGAGAAATACGCAATTTTTCATATTTTCCTTTCTTCTTCATTTTCTTTTTTCTTCTTCGTCTTCTTTTTTTTTGTTAAAAGAATACAAAGTTATCATGTATTTTTATTATTACGATTATTTTCTTCTTCTTCTTCTTCTTCTTCTCCCTATCCTCCATCTTCTCTTCTTCTTTTTAAATTAAAATCTTCTCTATTCTTTTCTTATCAAGTAAGAACTAATAAACATACATTTTGACTGCTAAACCAATACTAGAGATTTTACATATAAATATTTTTATTAAGCTCTTTTTTAAGATGCCTTTGAAATTCACAAACAAGGTCAGATATACAGTATATACACATATTAGTATACATATAAATCTACAATGAAAAAAGCTTAACGTCTCGTTCGTTTTATTCGTCCCTTGTTTGTCGCAATTGTCCGAAATCGGCCTAAATTGGGCCTATTCATACAACACTCGCTTAAAAACTTCTCCAAAGTGATAGAAGGCAGACGGACGGCCGGAACGCAGCTGATGCTTCGAATAAACATTTACTCTATCAAACATCCACAAATCGCATCTGCTCTCTTCTCTCTTTATTTTTTTCCGCCGGCCGCTTTTGCCTCAATTCCCTCAAAACTCCCCGGGTGACTGATGGTCATTTAGGCAAGGCATAGAGGGATCTGTGAGATAAGAGTACGATCCTTTTCGTCCTTTTTTAACATCCATTCCCTAGCCCTTATTATTTTATATCTTACTCGCATGAGTATGCGTGAGAGTATCTCTCTGGTCTCTTGCTTTCTAACGTCTGGATAATAGATTGAAAAACACGTTGTACTGTTTGCATATTGTTTTTTAGTCGATTTGATTATGTTCGGACATTCGAAAATTATAATTATACACTCTGTTTAAACTTCTATTAGCCATAAAATTTATGATCTAAACGTGTTGAATTCATGTATCATAATTGTTTTATAGAACAATATACATCACACAAACAGACTGGTCTATAAATATTCCTTTTAATTAGATCAATTAAAAAAACACAAAAAACTATACACCAACAGAAATTACTGTTATCCCTATTCTCCTGCTAATAAAGTTCCTTTACTTTCTTCTCTCTTTATTACCTGTAGTAAGATCTATTCATCCAGAGGTCACGAAGTTCTATACTAAGGCTTTTTACTTATTACGATTGGCATTGTCAAGAGTAAACTCATTTCATAGTATGTAATACAGATCTCAAACAGCATAACATACAAAACCTTACTTTTATACTAATTAGTAAGAGATTTTAATTGATACTCTCTACCTTTAGTCTCATAAGATAAATTCAATAGTATCTATAGATATAAAAATAACTATTGAAAAAATATTCTATAAATATATATATATATAGTCTAATCAATTTTCTCCTTTTCTCTCCTCTCTCGTTCTTTCTCTCTTTCTCTCTCTCTCTCTCTCTCTCTCTCTTAATGAATTTTTATTTAAAATAATAATCATTAAGCTTTAAGGCAGTTATTTCTTAAGATAGGAAATTAAATAACCCTTTTTATATACTTTTGGCCTATACTAAGATAATTACTTTATATACTGTATAATAATAATAACCTATATATGCAACTATGACAAGTTAATGTAAAAATTGGATTGAATATTATTTTTAAATATAGAATTACTCATTAGTGAGTTATATGTCTATATGTTTATAAATTGTGTCTAGAACACGTTATACATGGTACCTTCCCTTGAGGAACAGATGTTAAAGAAAAGAGAAAAAATTTAGCGAATGGTTTATATGAGTCTATACTTTGGGAATACACTATATACATTTATACTTTACGCTATTTATACGGCACAGATCAACTGAAGAGTATCTTATACATGAGCTTAAGTTTCAATAGTTAATTCCTCCTTTTTAGTTATATATATTAAATAGTTGATTTCTCTTCCAAAGAGAATCCGTGATTATTTCTCTTCTCTCTAATTTCATAAAACTTTTACGGGAGCTGATACAAAGGAAAAGTAACTATCTTGGTTAAAGAAAGAAAAACTAGAGTCAATAGGCCAAACGACCACTACAAACTACAGGCTAAACAACCAATTGAATTAGTAACTGAATCACAATCATTTGGTACTTGCAAAAATGTCGGCCCAAACAAGCTTAATTTCGAAAAAAGAGGGGACGAATCCTATATTCTATGTTGTTTTTTCTTTGTTAGATTTTCTCATCTATTCTGTTTTAGTAGTTTATTAAAAATAAATAGAAATAAACGTAAATTATCAAACATTTCTTCTACTAGTGAGGTTGAATTTTTGACAGGAGGCGGGGAAAGGGGAGGAGAGAGGGGCGAGGGGTTCTGCTAAAATATTCCCTTTTTTATCTATACAATCGGACAAGGGGGTTCGATGCTGGTATTATTATAAAACTGGAGATTAGTTAGCGTCTGCTCTAAGAAACATTAAATGAGAGGGCAGTCGATATAAAGCCGTAATTAAATGATGTCCCTTTGTTAAAAATTAGATAGCAGGGTGCAATATCATCTTGCACTAGAAGACACTCAAGATTTACGCGGTTCGTTTAGAATCAATCGGATGAATTATCAAATGGGAAATAGGAATCTTCAATAGAGATGATAAATAGACAAAAGCCATTCAAAACAATAGAATTTTTGTAGATAAGTACTTTCCAAGTGGAACAACTGAAAAGACTATATCAAATAAGATAATAGATATAAGCGATTACTAAAGTCGTATACCGTTATATAAACTTTTTAGACAGTTCATTTAGCGATATGGAAAAAACTCTGGTATACTAGGGTTTCCTTTTTTTGTCACCTTTGGCTATATAATCCAGAGAATATAGGGCTACTTAAAGCATTCTTGACGCCCAACCCTTCTTATTTTTTTTAATTCTTAATATCTGAAACTTTTCAATAGGGAATGCCTGAAATATAATCTAAATAAAACTAAAATTGTCAGCTGCGAAATGCATTAGTCTAATTTCAGATAGACGTGAAAATAGGGGGTTAAGGCGTTTTTTTTGACATCCGGGCCACAGAATGACAGTTGCGTTGACATCATTACAGCTTTCAAACCCCTTCAATTTCACGTATGATAATTTTTAGTGTTTTTACCACCTAAACCACCTTTCAATCTTGATGAAGGAAGGTTTCTATCTTGTTTTATTTATTTATTACCAGTTTTTATTACTTTTAAAAGTAGTTTCAATTGCGAATTTCATGGGAATTTTATTCAGATTGAATAACCATTTATTAGAAACAAAAAATCAAATGGAGAGAGAGAGAGAGAGAGAGAGAAAGGAGAAAATGAGATAAATGCTTTTAGCCGAAAAGAGAAATAAAAGAAAATTAATCTATAGTAATTATATAACAAATACTTTTAAATCTAAACAAAACAATGCTATTATTACTAATTGAATTAAAACTAAGAGGAAGAATGAAAATTTTTTAACAAGATAATATCATTGATAAAATGGAAAGGAAAGGGAAGAGAGAGAGAGAGAGGGAATATATTTTTTCTCTTATCAACTATTTTTTATATAGTATATATAAATTCTTTTTTTCTTTCTAAGAAATAAACTATAAGGAGAATAAGAGATGAATTTTTGTTTAATTAGAATAAACAGAGAGAATCTAAGAAAAAGCAGATTGGTGAAAAAAAATATTTTTTATCTTTCTATTCTTTATTTCTCTTTTATTATCTAATTTAACCAACATAAATAAAAGAAACCGAATACTGAAACAGGTGATTTTTATTGCATACTAAATGACCACAACCATGATTTATCTTCTAATAAACCAATGTTATATAGAGAATAAGAATAAAATTTGACCTAAATTTTAATTAATAAATAGGGGTAAATAATGAAAATGGCTATTGTAAATGTTTAATTGTTCTGTTTGTTTTCTCCTGTCTAACAACCTATAAGGTT